CCTGTAGTTCCTGATCTTTTACCCAGCTTTTCTATTTCCAGCATTTCCTCAGATTGTGCTTTCTTTATTGTCTCTATTTCAGTTTTTTGGTCTTGAACTGTTTCCTTTAGAGATTTGTTGATATCTTGTATTTTTTGGTTAGTTTTTTCTTCCATTTCTTTAAGGGATTTTCTCATGTCCTCTTTGAGGTCCTCTATCATTTTCATGAAGATGTTTTTAAGGTCATTCTCTTCTGGTTCATCTGCATTGTGATGTTCAGGTCTTGCTGGTGTATGGTTCCTAGTCTTGGTGGTGTTATATTGGGTTTTCTGTTGTTGAAAGTGCTTTTACATTGTCCTCTTCTCATCCTTTCTTCTGGTGGGTGTAGCAGGAGTCTCTTCCTCTCCTGGTGGGTATGGGACCAAGGTTCCCTTCTGTTGATGCAAACAGATCGAATACTCTGATGTCTGTCCTCTTCTCGTGAAAGAAGGTGGCACTGTTACCGGGGCCTCTGCAGGGTCCAGGTGTGTTGGATCCCACTGCCGAGTTCAGATCAGGTGAGCAGATCCCTGGCGTCAGATGTCGAAATAATAACTTTTATAGAAAGTTATTAATAACTATAGAAAGAAAATTTACTTACTGGCAATACTATTTTCACTCAATAATTTTTCACCAAATGATATTTAAATCTCTTAATACAGTCAAGTAAGGAAATAACAATCATTTCAAACAGGGTCAGTGTCAGGGACCAAAATATTTCCTGTTATGAAATGTCTTAAGGTACAGCCTCTGGTTTCAGTAAACAGAGCACCTGGGAGCTATGGCCCACTATTGTATTGCTAATTCGAGCAAGTCTGCTATTGTTTAGCATAGCCTCAGTGTAGGATGCCTCCTAGTTTGCATCTCTACAGGACTAAGCATTTGAATAGGCCTGCACCTGGGTGGGAAGGGCAGTTTGTAAGTTACAAGTGAGGACAGAGAGTTAGGAGCCATGGAGCAGAGAGGGGTCAGGAGGAGAGAAATGCCCTCCTTGTGGCCATGGAAACATGGTGAAGAAACAGCCAAGAAGATGCTAAATAAACAAGAGACCCTAGTTTTACAACATGGAACTGAGAGCTCTCTAAAGATGACAGATGACAAGATGCCTTTGTTTGGTCTTTATCGCCGTTTGGTTGCTAGGAGCTTTCAAGTCCACACTCTCCCACTTAAGGCTGAGACAGCCCGGGCCACGACAGGTCAGAACAATGGCTCATCAGGTAAAAGCACCTGCTGCTTCGGCCTGATGCTCTGATGATTTTGATTCTCTGGAACACATAATAGAAGGAGAGAACCAACTTCCAAAAGCTGCCCTCTGACCTCCACACACACTCACATATACATCATGCACACAGAATAGTAATAATAAATAAAAGGAAACTTAAAACAGAAAACACAGAAAGCCTCAGGGCTGGGATATAAACTCAGTGGTACTGCTCTTGCCTACCATGCAAGAGGCTAAGGTTTCAAGCTTCAGAACTGCAGAAACAAACAACAATTAAAGTTGAAAGAGAAAGGTAACAGGAAAGAGGAAAAAGCAGAGAGATGAAGAAAATAAGACATGTAAGAAAAAGACAAAATGATTTATGTGTATGAAAATGCCAAAATGAAATTATGATGTCAAATCTCAATTGTCACCTTGATAAGAAGATCCTCTGGGCATGACTGCCAGAGATTAGGCTCAGCTAAAGACCTACCCACTATGGTGCTCCATTCCCTGGGCTGGTTCCTGCACTGTGTAAAACAGGAAGTGAGCTCACCCAGGCAGTCATCACTCTGCTTCCTGATTACAGATGAAATGTGACCAGCTCCCTCGTGTCCCTCTGCAGTGACTCCCTCATCATCACTGACTTTAGCCTTCCACTGAGTCATAATAAACCTTTTCTTCTCCCTGAAGTCACAGTCATTAGAGTATTTAATTACAGCAATAGAGAAACATAACTTAGAAACCCTCCCACTGTGTACCAACTTAAAATAACAATAAAAATAAGACACAAAGAATTTGAGAGATGAAAGAAATAGAAAACATTATTAGTTTGACACATAAACTATACATTGCTTAGGCTACAACCCAATATTTTTTTAAATATATCATTAGTTCTGTAACTGCTTTTAGTGACCTATAAACCTTTAAAAACACAATTAGTCTACAATTTTCAGCACCCTTACCAAAACAATCACATTTAATAGAAAGAATGCCAAGTAAACAAAAGTTTCTGGTAAGCTGGAACTTACCGTAGTTTATACTATCCATTGACATGTAAAAGTCCAATTAAAATAAAACATCTATTGCAACCAAGTAAATTTTCTGATCACAAAACACCCATAAACTCTGTGGTGAATTAAGTTAGTCTTGTTTTTTTTAATCTACTCATTAGAGCTCTAGGCTAGGACTAGGAGAAATTGTGCATCTTACAGCAGTGATAATGTCTGAACTCTGTCCTCTTACACACTGACCCACTTTCCAAACTCCTGAGAACAATGTTTAGTAAGCAAGCAGACCAAACCAGACATCAGCTCAAACACCCTAGGGTATTTTCTCCACCGATTCATCTCTTTGAACTAAGAATTAAGAACCAGGACATGCACAACACAGCCCAGTGGTCAAGTGCTTGCCTAGAATGCAGAAGTTTAAATATAAACTGTGGGGGGAAAACATAGAACATTCTATAGCATATATTACATATATCAGTAAATGTACTCTAGAGTACACTAAGTAGGAAGGTCTTACCTTTGCAAATCCTACATTCTAATAACAAGTGATCTACATGGCAAACAGGATTGGCCCCTGAATCTGAGCATACTGACCATAAATAGGGATATATATAATGTAGAAACATTTGAAAATATTGAAGAGGACCTGGAAAAATGGGTCAGAGGTTGAGAGCACTGTCTGCTCTTCTAGAGGTCTGGGGTTCTATTCCCAGCACCATGTCACAACTGTCTGCAGTTCAGCTCCAGGGGAGCCAACACCTTCTTCTGTCCCCCTTAGACTATACATTCAGACCAAAACTCATACATGCAAAGTAATTTTTTTAAATCTCAAGAATAATTTTTAAATTATTAATTAAATTTTAATTTAATTCCACAATTACCTTTCTTCTTAGAAGTATTGATTTGACGACCACTGATTCTTTTTTTTTTTTTTTTTTGGTTTTATTCAAGACAAGGTTTCTTTGTGTAACAACCCTGGATGTCCTGGAACTCACTTTGTATACCAGGGTAGCCTCGAACTCACTGAGATCTACCTGCCTCTGCCTCCCAAGTGCTGGAATTAAAGGCATGTGCCACCACTGCCTGGCAACAACTGATCCTGAATATAACCCTTTCATTACCTTCTTGGGAAAGAAAAATAATATTTATTCTCCTCAGTATGGAATTTCTAAGAGCTATGGGACATAACTGAAAGGGAAGCAACCAAGTCTCTGAGGAAGTGTGTATGATGAAACAAAGCTTGAGGAAATACAAACTATGTCTTCTTTCTTGCTGTACTTCCCACCAAACTTTACAGAATGGACAGGTATTTGTTAATGAACAACAAAGACATTTTAATCAACACAAGTACAAAAATATAATCATAAAAGTAAAAATTCTGTAAAAATGTGTTAAAGAACCAGAATTCTGACCGATGAAAGGAAAGGCAGTCAGAACAGCTAACATGAGCCCAGGATGGAGAGCCCTAGACTACATGGCAAGAACAGCTAACATGAACCCATAATGAAGAGCCCTAGACTACATGACAAGAACAGCTAACATGAACCCAGAATGAAGAGCCCTAGACTATATGGCACATTCTGATGCCATGGGGAGATGCTGGTACCTTTCAAACAAAATCTGTCTCACAAAAATATATCAAGCCTGGTGGTGATGCATGCCTGTACTCCCAGCACTCAGGAAGCAGAGGTAGGCAGATCTTTGTGAGTTCAAGGCCAGCCTGGTCTACAAAGAGAGTTCCAGGACAAGCTTCAAAGCTACATAGAGAAACCCTGGCACGAAAAAAAAAAAAAAAAAAAAAAGAAAGCATATCAATATTTTAGAAAAAAAAATGAGTCATACCTAGCTTACAATAGTCAATTTGATTAGAAACTTAAGTAATGTAATGTACAAAATTGTTAGAAAATGAAGTCACTAGAATTATTGTTTATAAATCCTAATTATCTTCCACCTATGTAAAATCATTCTATCTACTTAGAGTAAAAAAAGAAAAGAAAAATAATAACCTTTGAATACATTTTAAAATATTCTGTAATTGAGAATTATTAATTCAGTTGGTTTTTCACAACTGTTCCAAGTTTGAGAGTTATGCATACATTTGATGTAATTGGTACTTCCAGTTTGAAACTTCTAACAATGTCACTAAAATTACTTTCACTCATGATACATGGTAGGGCATAAACTTGCTACACATCAAATATGGCCCAATAAAGTCATTGCCATAGGGTTTTTATTTTTATCCTTACCATTACAAGTTCTTCTTGTAACTCACTGAAACTTTTTTCATTATATTGGAGTCTCTTTGAAAGATCTGTAATTACTTTCTTCTGTTCTTCGATCTCTTCATTTACTTTCTTGTTTTTGGAGAAATACTCTCTTTCTAATCTGGAAAGTTAAAAATGTCAGAGCAGGTTTTTCAAATGTACTTCTCTTTCACACAAATAGCTGATGTTCTATAAATCATGTTTACATGCCAAAAGTCTTTTTAATGCCAATTTTTTTCTTTTTCAAACTAAAAGGTTTATGCATTCTTGAATGAAAGGCTTGAAGGGAATAACTCTTCTCCTTTGATAGTAAGTATCTATACTGTGTCCAAGGTAATAGCAAGAGACTGGAATAGCACTGACAGGGCCTCACCATTATTTCTGATGAACAAAATCTACCCATCTCAATTCAGTCAGTTCAGAAACTGCTCAAGACTGATAAAAGTCAGTGGGGTAATATGTATGTTGCATGCTCATGAGTGTGCAAATGAACACACCTGTACATGCAGACACACACACACACACACACAGAGAGAGAGAGAGAGAGAGAGAGAGAGAGAGAGAGAGAGAGAGAGAGGCAACAGCAGGATATCAAGTGTTTCCCTTGAGACAGTCTCTTACTGACCCGAAGCACATTGTTTTTGGCTGGCCAGCCATGCCTGACTTCCTACCTGGATGATAAGTATTCCAACTCAGCCTCTCATGATTATAGATCATATGATCTTACTGACTGAGCCATCTCCTGAGCTCCCAAGAAAATTATCTTAAAATTAGTGATGCGGTTATTAACATACAACAGAAGTGAAGCAAATGTTTTTATCCCTCTAAGTAGAATTGATTTGGCATATGGAAAAATTCAAAAAGGAAAAAAATCAAAATGTTCATGAAACTATTTGAGGACATGTTTACTGCTCTAGTTGGAGGCATGATCTTGGGAGAGGCCTATAAATGAGGTGGACAAAAGTCTCATGCAAATCCACAGCTAAGCACTGAGCCATACTCCTGGAATCCAGTTGTAGAGAGGGAGGAGGGATGAGCAAAGGGGTCAAGACCTTGCTGGAGAAACCCACAGAAACAGCTTACCTGACCAAGTGAGAGCACACGGACCCAGTCATAAAGCTGGAGAACCAGCATTGGACCAAACCAAGCCTTTGAATGTGGGTGCCAATTAGGAGGCCTAGGCAGTCTATGGGGCCTCTGGCAGTGGAACCAATATTTATCCCTAGTGCACAAATGGACTTTGGGAGCCCATTTCCCATGGAGGGATTCTCTCTCAGCCCATATATACTGAGGAGGGCCTTGGCCCTCCCCAAGATGATGTGACAGACTTTGATGACTTCAGATGTAGACACTGAGTTTCCAGAGGAAACCACAAATCAAAAACAAAAGATCAAGAATCAAATGACTTCATACTTGCCCAACTCTTGAACTGAATAACCAGCTGACCTATGAAAAAGGGTGAAGACTAAGAGCCATTTTCAGACTGTGCCTACAAATCCCCCCTGATATATAACTTCTCCAAGAAGCTACTTTACGATGCAGCAAATCAAACAACAAGGGTCAAGAGATAAAAAATCAAAGGGCTTACAATGGAAGAAGTCAGAGGAATTCCTAGGAGGATGTTAAAGACTGGTCCTAGCACAAGTACACACAGGAAATCTGAAAAGCCAGATGGAGGAAACAGAAAGGCCCCAGAGGAATACCTTAGGGAAAACACACACACACACACACACACACACACACACACACACACGATAGGACAGAATTTGGGGTCTGCTAGACTTTAGGAATATGTAGAGATTGGAGAGATATCTTAGTGTGAAGAGTGCTTGCTGCTCTTCAGTCTGGTCCCAGAGGTCCTGATGTCAGGTGGCTCATAACCATCAGTAACTCTTTGATACCCTATCCTAGCCTCCATAGGTATCCACATACACACAGACACAGACACACACACACACACACACACACACACACAAGTAAAAACTACAAAAATTAAGTTAAATCAAAAATAGACAGGCAGGAGTCTTCCTTCCCTTTCCGCCGACCCATCAGAGACTAGGTGAGTGACCCCCTGCTTTTACACAATTCCCAGACAAACTGCCATTCACCCAGATCCCCCCAGGCTTGTCCCGGCTTGAAATAGACACGCCCAGGCAGGGAGGAGCTCCCTGAATCTGGGTACAGGCCACTCTTCCTTCCGTTTCCGGGGACCGATCCGCCAGGAGGTGAGTGATCCACCGCTCTTACCCAACTTCCTATCAAAGTCCCATCCACCCCGATCTCCCCGGGCCTGCTCCTGCTTAGGGTAGACCTGCCCAGGCAGTGAGGAACCCCCAGAGCCTGGAAACACCCCACT